TAATATCATTGATGAACAAGACGAAGAGCAGAGGGCCCAAGACACTTTCCTGTGGAACTCCAGAGGATGCAGTGAAGGGCCTAGAGGAGACATCATCAACAATCAATACACAACGTCTATTACTTAAATATGATCGCAACCAATCTAGGAATACGGAATGAAAACCTAGAGATGCAAGCTTACTTTGTCGAACGCTTTTGAGAAGTCAGTATAGATACAGTCTACTTGGTCCCCAGCAGAAAACGCCGAAATACAGTAGTCACTAAATAGGGCGAGATTGGATACTGTGGATCTACCAGTAACAAAACCATGCTGCTGTGGAGAGATTATACTCTTCGTAGCAAAATACATATTTTCCTTTATGATTCTTTCAAAAAGTTTAGATACAGTCCAGAGTTTAGAAATCGGCCTGTAATTAGACACATCGTCCTTTTTGCCACTTTTGAAAATTGGAGTAACATCCGTCCGTTTCCACTCGTCAATAAAGACCCCAGATGCTAATGATTTGTTAAAGATTAGTTTGAGAGGCAAAGCAAGCGCAGGACATTTTATAAGAAGGATAGTGGAGATACCATCTATATCCATCTTAGTAGATGGTTTAAGATCTTTGATACCATCCTCAACGTCTTCTAACGACAGGCTCAAAAGGCCGAAGTTCAGAGGTGAGTTATCTTTCAAGGAGAAGTAGGAGTTGGAGTCATGATAATCTCAAACGAAGTTTGAATTAAAGAACTCCGCAAACAGATTAGCAACTTCTGAAGAAGTACTAGCGGATCTATCTTCCCAGGAAACCGCAGACGGAACTCCAGAGGCAGACTTCCTAAACTTAATGAACTGCCAAAAATACTTAGGAGTAGATTTGATGTTGCTTTCAACGCCCAAAATGTAATTTTTATACAGAAATTTATTCAGCTGTTGAATTTTTTCGAACCTTGAAGATATAGTGTATAATGGTCTGATTATGCATACTTCGCATAACTTCGCACAACTTCGCAAACTGTAATTTCGTATGAACTTTATATGTATTTTGTATTCCATTACCCAGAAATTAGCAGAACTTTTAAAAACTTAGCGTTCTGTTGAGTTTAGATTTTGCTTCATATTTTCTTAAGTTACACTTTTAGGGCACTGGTACAAATGGTGTGCGAAGTTATGCGAAGTATGCATAACCAGACCCTAAGTGTAGAGAGTATTATATCGTCCAAAACTCTTATGAAGCTTATTTCGCCGATTCTTGAGCTTTTTTTTAAATCTCGTGTATACCAATGAAGCTTGTACGGCCTTTTCCGAATTAGTGGAATATTTTGGTGACAAATCTCCACCACTTTAGACCTTAAGGCAGAATAACAATCCGAGGTAGCGGAGCTCAAGAGCAGCTCATCCCATTTAACTTTGCTTAAAGAGTTATTGACCCTTGAAAAGTCACACTTTGAGAATTTAGACAATGAGCCATTGTCTCTTCACATTTAGTGCCTGAAAATTCATAAAACTTTACGTTGAGGGCCACGGAAACATGATGCTTATCTGTAGGCAAGATCGGCGAGTAACATTCCGAAATAGTAGCCTTGATATTATCACTAACAAAAACGAGATCTAAAATTCGATTAAGCTTGTTTTTGAAACAATTCAATTGCACTAAGTTAAGACTTAAAATATTATCAACAAAGTAAGATTCGACCTCTGTATTAACATTCGTTGGTATAAGACCCCATTTTGACAGATTATTAGACCAAATAATATTTGGAAGATTGAAATCACCGAACACACATAGATGATTAGTTGTTAACACATTGTGAACCAAATATGAAATGTTGTCTGTATGAGTTTTATAAAGACTAAAATTACTACCAGGCGGGATGTACGAAGCCAATATATATAAAGAGTCAAATTCAGAAGTACCTTTGATGCAAACACAAATTTGTTCTAATATTGGGTCACTGTCGCTGAGCGGGACAACAAATGTATGAAGATAACGCCGAACTGCGATAAGAACACCACCACCGCGAGAAAATCCTGTACTATTAACATCCCGATCTTTCCGAAAAACGTTCAATAAGGTCGGATTGAAATATTCACTATCAAAAAAGTTTGCATTTAACCAAGACTCCACGAAGATTAGTCAAAATCCGAAACTGAGCTACGGATGATAATGTCGTCCGGAGTTGTACTTAAGCCACCCATATTTTGAAAGTGTATCTTCAAACTCTTGAGCGCTGGGTCCAAAACCTTGTCATATTGAGATGCAATAACACCCAGTTTAAAATTGATCTTCGTAAGCGAGCCAATGTCAACATCCTTTTTGATGAGCTTAAAACAAGAAATGCTAATTCTGTCGATTCCAGTATTTTTTTCCACTAAAGAAATTATATTTTCCTCAGATACATTTGGTTTAAAAGAAGACAAGTGCAGCCATATTTTCGTATCCGCGATCTAATTCAGTACTGATACTGCACCCAATAACCACGTTGCGTACATTTTTTTCCTTCTTCTTTTTGTTCCTCTTCGTTTGCATGGTGACCCACTGTGCTTGTCCAGTTGATAGCGAACCATCAGCACTGTTTATTTCAGTAGCGGCGGCGGCGGCAGCGGCAGCAGCAGCGTATGTGTCAGCAGAGGCAGCAGCTACGTAGGAGGCATACAAGTAGTTGTCGGCGTGTGATCCGTAGCAGTTGTTACAGCTGGAGGAGTAACCATAGCAGAGTTAGCAGAGTTAATACTGCGAGCGGAAGGATGAGACTTCTCCCACGCAACGTCTATGTTACACTCAGACATACATGTACCTGACGAAGTATGATGCGTAGCAGTCGTTGAAGCTGGGGTATTAGCAATAGCAGAGTTAGCACAGTGAGTGGAAGACTCTCTCGCGACGATTCTGCAATTCGAGCGAAGATTTTTAACTTCGGTAGTGAGCACCAGGGATTAGAGGTGTCAAACTATCGATAGTCACACCATCGATAGTATAGTTTTCAGAAAACTATCAATATTCACGATAGTCTCAAAAAAAAAACAAAACTATCGATAGCACTATCGATAGCGCTATCGATAGCGCTAAATCAGTTAGGGTGCTTTGTTTTTACAGGATCATAGTGAAATAAATATTATCTTATAAAAGTTATAATCATTCAAAATTAAGTAACTGCTTAGCCAGAATACTTCTCTTTTTAGAAAGTTCAAAAACAAACACAAGTTATACAAACAAAATAGGATTTACGATTAACATATGTATGTATAATTTCAAAAAAATTGGGAGAGATGATCGATAGTCCTACTAAACTATCGATATTTTTGATAGTATAAGAAAAAACTATCAATGAGTATTGATAGTCTAAAAAAATTGAAACTATCGATACTATCGATAGTGCCATCGATAGTTTGACAACTCTACCAGGGATGCCGTTTTAGACGAATTTTTGCGGGATACTTATTTTTTCCGGTCCGTATAAATGTGGATACTTTTTTAAATAGGCCAAAATTTTATATTTCCTATAAAGTTTTTTTCGTTCAAAAATCGATTTTCATTAAAGATGGTAGAAGGCATTACGTTTTCTAAACGTATAAAGAATCGCTACTTAAGCCTGAAATTAAAGGATTTTATTTTTTGTGAACGAAGCAATGAACATATGAAGAGATCTCACCAAAATAGGTATAAGCGCAATTGCTTTAATTAGCTTAAAAGGATGCTTTAAGCAAGATCTTAATATACATATCGTCGTTTAAAGTACAAAACCGCGAATCAACAAAATGCAAAACCGCGTATCAAGATAATGCAAAACCGCGTATGTGACGTTGCATAAATTATTTTCTAGAGAGTAAAAACACTTATATTTCAAAATGGTTCTCTTGTTTATTAAGCAATCGCATTTCTGGCTAGTATATTTCAGGACGAATGGATAAGGATTGAGCCAAGAGCTTGCCAATTTTTGGCAGCAAATGTCAGTTACGCGGTTTTGCAGAATGACGATACGCGGTTTTGCACTTTAAACGACGATATATATAAAGTAAATTATACTCTTTCTGTAGTAATATCTTTCATATCACATATTTTCATTTGTTAATTTAAAAAGAAAGATTTCAATGTAGTTTAAAAAACTAAATTTCATTTATTTAAGGAAACTTTTATGAATTTTACTGAAAAGACTTTAAATACACTCTAAAAAAAAATTTTTTATTTGCGCATATTGAGAGAGGTAACCAGTTTCCTCTTTTAATGTGTGCAAATTTGCACGCCGTGTAATAAAATTAATCATTGCCTGTTTACTTTTACATAACGAATTTGTCACAAGAGCAAAATTACACATAAAATGTTTAAAATAAAGTAATGTTTATTATAAGTAGGAAATGTATTTGTAGTTTGAAAATTTTTGCAATTTTAAACATTCTATATATGTGTATTTACGTGTATATTTTAAAGATCTCAAGTTCAAAATCAAAAACTGAACATCCTATACGTATATTTATACAGATTCTTGTTGAAAAATAGACACTTTTCAGTAGTAGTTTTACATGCTCTTTTTAGAGTGTACAAAGTGCGCTATGTAAAATTTTTTCGATTTTTAGTTTTTGGAGGATTACGTACCAGTACTTATAGTAGTTTCATGTCAACACAGTGCAAAATCTTTTTTATATTCTGAAAAAAATAACATCAAATGTTAACTCTTCTTCCAAAAGTCGCTATCACACTTATTTATAAACTTTCAAAACTATACATCTTCTGATGAACTTAGAAAACTGCTTTAGGTCGTATAGACTGTTTATGTTATCTTATGTCATGTTATGTTATGTTACAATTTTAAAAGGCTCTTATTTATCCAAATTTTCAGGTAATAATGGAAAAGATTCAATTTAAATGATACTTGTTGTCGTAGTCGTTTTTTTAAATTTACGGCTTTCTATTATAAAATCACATAACGCTGTTTGCAAGTGGACTACTCATATTTACTTTGCAAAATACTTATGCAAAAAAAATTTACTTTATAAATTGAAATTACAAATGTTTGATTTTATGCACATGTATTCCTAGTCCTTAGGATGGGTTAAATTATGTATTTTTTATGAAAATGTTTGATTTTCTTACAAATTATGAGATGTATATGTGAAAAAAGAAAATTGGATACATTTGGATACATTTTTGGCTTGCTCAAGGATACATTTTCTTGAGACGGCGCGGCAACACTGGTGAGCAAATTGATGGACTCCGCAAGCCCATCGGTGCACAGTTTACTCTGCAATGAGTGTAACACGGCTTCAAGAGATTCCGTTTTGCTAATAAGCCGTTTATTGTCATCCGCTAATGCATTGACTAAAGCAAAAACACGAATATTCTCAGCTCTAAGGGCAATAATCTCATCGAACAATGATTGTAGTGATATTGCTCAGCGTCAATTTGATTGAACTTGCTGCCTGAACCTTTACACATTTGTAGAGACGGAGAGGATGAAAATGGCATTTTAGACTGATGATGAGCAGTTGCATTATTGTTGCGTTGTGAGCCTATTTGACTACTTGAGGTAGCCGTGTTGTTAGACAAAGCACCAACTACTCTGTCCTCAGAAACGACGATAGGTGGTGGCAAACGCATGGAATCACGCCGAGCCCCAGCACAACCATTGCAGAGAAATGGCTTATCAGAATTGAGCAAGAACTCAACATCAGTTGGGTTCATATTTACACAAGCTAGGTGAAACAGGTCATTACACTTAGCACATTGTATTTTATGCTGCGTCCGCTCCACTTTTTGCCCACAAACACACGGCCTTATGATATTGTACTCGACACAATTTTGCGATTTTATTAGTCTCTATCTCGGTAACAGCAAACCACAGTAGTGCACAAGCAGATCAACATTCGCACATATGTTGGGCGATGAGAATAATATAAAATACGAAATTTTTAACTAGACAGAGAACGCGAACTGCGTAGTTATGCGCTGAGTTTTACGACGAAATAGTCTACGTCTACGTCCTTGTATTTTTTGTAACAAAAAAAAAGGGCGTTTATTTTCAAAGAATAAAAAAATACGTATACCACTCAGTTTTTTTTCACAAATGCTTCGCTTTAAAAATATAATCATTAAAATCGGTTTAGTACTTTGAGAAATAAATCGTTACGAACATTTTTCATATAGGCTGCATTTCTTTATTCATTCTGAACGTTTGGAATAAACTTTTTTGTTTATTAATTTTTTAGAACGTTCCTGCTGATATGTTGACGTATATTTCAAACGCATTCTGTTTATTTCGGCTGTGAAATGCGATTATCCGGAATGTATAAAGAAACGCAGCCGTAATCAATTTTATCTATACTATTATGGATAAGTAGAATATAAAAATTGCATGAAAATTTAAAATAAAATAAGATTTTATAGTATTAAAATTACATCAATTAAAACAAAAAAATAAGTTGTTTTAAAATGCATACTATATATCATTTAATTTCAGGTAACTAACAGCTGGAAACCCCTATGCAGCAGTTGAAATTGTGCGCCTAACTACCACCAGTAACTTTGACATTGGATTAGGATGTGCCGGATAGAGATTTTGCCGGATAACTGGATGCCGGATACCATGTAAAAAATAAGAGCCGGATTCGGATATCCGGTCGACTGCTGCCTTTTATAAATTTCGCAATATTGTTACAATACGTAATTAAGAATACAAAATATCTCTTCTGAAATCCAAGTTATAAAATATTCCTGTATTAAAAATATGACTTTTCCGTCTCCAACCCTGATTTCTAGATTACACAGACCTGCGAGTTAAATAAATTTAAATACATACTTGGCTTTTTTCTTGCACGTCGAGATTTTTTTTATTGGTGACATATATATTTTAGGATTTTTAGCAATTCGCATGAAAAGCCAAAAATTGTTAAATTTAGAATTGAGTTTTTACTTAAAAACCAACAGTTTAGTTAACAATACCCATAAATAATATGACCAACCGTACTTCTTTCGGAAGTACAGTACTTCTTTTTGAGGCATTGTACTTCATACTTCGAAGTACGGTCAAATGTACTTCTTTGCAATGTTTTGTAATACAGGTAGTATCAGTAGAGCAGCTGATTTGATTTTTATACCCGAGCGCACTTGTGCACAAGGGTATATTAATTTTGTTCACATAACGGTTGTTTATAACAGCCAAAACGAATCGAGATAGATATAGACAAATGTATACATAAATGCTCAGAATGAATAGAGAAGTCGAAATTGTATGCAAAGTGGGAGTGAAGAAAAACTAAAGTATAGTGAAAGTGAAGAAAACAGAACCGGTCCTGTAAGGTGGAGTCGTCCCACCCACTTCTACGTACATTCTCCTCGCAGCCTTGGATGCTGCTGCGACTCCTCAAATTTAGCAGCATCCCCTTAGCCTAACATTGGCCCGTCCGTCTAGTCATCAGTAACTTCCTAGTCCGTTTAGTCATCCTGTCTACACTCTAAGCCCACCTTAGTTGTTTAAATATCTCTAGTAATAGGGCTGCCAGATTTCCTGGTTTTCCCGAACATGTCCCGGTTTTAGACTATTTGTCCCGGTGTCCCGGTCCAACTGTAAAATGTCCCGGGTTTCGTTTTAGTGTCCCGGTTTTTGATTTCATTGCACAAATTTGAATAAAAGTTCAAAAATCACTACACTAAGAGAAAAAACGCGTTGTAATATTCAGAAAAATGTTTTGAATTCACTGAGGGAAATAGCGCATAGTAAACCTGAAGTTTTTCTATTTGATTATCGGATAAAAATGTTCGTATTTAAAAATAATACCTTCATAACACGCACGCGTGGTGTTGATTCAAACTCAACATTTAAATGCACATTTACATGTCTGGCTGTAGCTGAGTGCGCGAAGATGCTTGCCACAATTTGCTTATTTCCAGAGGGTCAGTGTTCAATTCCCATTACAACCAGCATGGAATTTAAATATTTTTTTTTAAATCAATTATGAAAAAGCAATCGGCAATTGCAAATCGCTTACTTTTAATATGGGCGTATTTGAATTGAATATTTCTATACTAAATATAAAATTTGTGTACATAAATGTATTACAAGTTAAGTTGGTGCTCTTTTATATGCGCATTGTTTTTTTTATATAGTACGCTTTTTATACCCGAGCGCACTTATATTAATTTTGTTCACATAACGGTTGTTTGTAACAGCCAAAACGAATCGAGATAGATATAGACAAATGTATACATAAATGATCAGGATGAAAAAAGAAATCGATTAAGCCATGTCTGTCTGTCCGTCCGTCTGTCCGTCTGTCCGTCTGTCCGTCCGTCCGTGTACACGATAACTCGAGCAAACATTGAGATATCTCAACGAAATTCGGTATGTAGGTTTCCCTTAATCCAAGGTAGGTTGGTATAGAAAATGGGCGAAATCGGACTTTAACCACGCCCACTTCCCATATAACGGTAATTTCCAGAAATACGAAAACTGCGGTATTTTAGTAACTACTGAAGATAATTCACTCAAAATTGATATTTACAATAATTTTTAGACGAAAAATAAGAATATTATAAATTTTTGGCAAATGGGCGTAGCCACGCCCACTTATGGTTACATGTGTATATCTTGGTAACCGCTGCACCAATTTCTTCCAAACTTGGCACAGTTGTTGGTCTTCGCATAACATACCAAATGGCCGAACATTTTTAAAATCGCTCAATAACCACGCCTACTTCCCATATAACGGTAATTTTCAGAAATACGAAAACTGCGATATTTTAGTAACTACTGCTATTCACTCAAAATTGATATTTATAAAAAGTTTTAGACGAAAAATAAGAATATTATAAATTTTTGGAAAATGGGCGTAGCCACGCCCACTTATGGTTACATGTGTATATCTTGGTAACCGCTGCACCAATTTCTTCCAAACTTGGCACAGTTGTTGGCCTTGGTACAGCATAAAAGACCGCCGAAACTTTTTAAAATCGGACAATAACCACGCCCACATCCCATATAACGGTAATTTAGAGAAATACAAAATCTTCGATAAATCATTAAATATTGAAGCTAATTTATTCAAAATTGATGCTTGCAACAATTCTTTACCAAGAAATACGTTTATGGTAAAATTTTGGAAAATGGGCGTGGCACCGCCCACTTATGATCACATATAAGTATATCGGTAACCGTTCCACCAATTTGTACAAAACTCGGTGTTTAGGCCTTAAGCCTAAATATTTCCAAATATAATGCACCACCCTAATGTGTCATTCACATATGTGTACATTTATGCATGCATACTTGTACACATGTACGTATATTATAGATTCGCGCCGTTAGTTTAAGTTTCCCGCCGGATAAAGTATCTTTCGTTGAATTTCCCCTCAACGTCTTTTCTTTGTCCGGCGGTTCGAACGAAAATCACGGCTTTAGATTTTTTCAATTTCACATCGGGAGACCAAGGAGAAAGAACTGCAGCTACCAGGCCACATTATTTTCAGGTAAAACCATTGTAAACCAACATATCTAAATCAAATCAAAATACTTGGACAATTAATAAAACCACTAAACTAAACCGAGTTTTATTTGTCTCCTTTTCCTATTACTTTCAAACCTCATTGTGACCATTTTGCGCACCGCACTTGAGCCGCACTGCGTCACACTGACGTTTTTATTGGTCCTTAGGAGCCGGGAAACCAACATACAGTCCACACTAGAAGAAAAAGCGAACCCAAAAAGTAATTGAGCCACTTTTACGAAAAAGGAATTTGGTCACATCAAGCTGCACATAACAGCGATCCTGCTACAGCCACAGCCACACTAATTCGTGCCACGAACCAGAAAAACATTGATAACATCATCGTCCAACAAGCAGTTTCACCAGCTACTAGGAAACTAAGGTACGTGGTTACAAATTCAAGTGCACAAAAAAATTACCAGATATAACCTCAAAGTGAATCCAAGCGAGTTGAAGTGATTTGTGAGAAAAAACGGGAAAAAAAGTTGAACTTGTGCAAATAACCGCAGTGAAGAGTGTCCATCGACATTAACAGTTCGTAATTGGTGCACCGTGCAATCTACACATATCACAGTGAACAGTGGCATATATGTAACTTAAATATCAAAGTGCAGCACACATTTCTTTCCGGCTCACTACATATTGCAACAATTTTTTGGTATTTTGCCACTTGCCACATTCGATTTGCTACTCGACTTAACAAAGCGCCGATAAATTTCACTTTCAATTTCGTTGTGCATAAGCAATTTAATTCGTGCAGCACATTTCTTAAATTTGCATTACACTGATTCACTGTGTTTGAGGTCACATAACCTCAAATTTTTAATTTCCTTCACATTTTTTTTCACAAAAATCACTTCACCACGCTAAATTCAGTCCATTTGCGAAATATTTGCTGGTAAAAATTTAAATTAAGTCCATTTGGATTAGTTTTGACGACGTTGCGTTGGGTGTACACACGAATTTGTGCATACATATATGCTTATACATATATATATATACCTTCGTCGGCAGTGTTGGGTGGCGAGTAGCACATAAACATATATATACATACATATGCTTATCACTTTTCTGAAAAAATAAAAAAAATCATCAATTTTCTGAAAGAGATATTAATTTTAAATCGTAGTGTTTTCTTGATTGCTTCTGGGTTTTGGCTCGTAGAGTTTAAACAAGCTACGTTGGTACTCTTATACTCTTTTCGACAATTTGGCAAAAGTTTCGCTGTGCATTTATACATATACGACAGTTTGGAATATACACGGTCTATTCCTATTTATAGTGAACATACTTCTTTCGAAAACTACAACAAATTTTAATTCGTAAAGAGTAATCTGAAGATCAATTACCGCAATGGAAACCTTTATTCGTTTGGCAGAATCTGTAATCGAATTTGAATCAGATTACAATAGCACACCAGCCACAGAGCAAAACAAACACGGCCTTGCAATACAGCAAGACGAACTAAAGGCTTTGTGGGAAAAGACCAAAGTAGCTTATGACGCGATCATAAATAAAGAAGGAATTTCTAAAGATGACATTAAAGCAATTAGACGGAAACATAAGGGCTCGTTTTCCAGCTATGTCAAATGCATGTCGGTAATGGCTAGTCAGGCTGAGACGCTTGTAAATGCAGAGAAGGATGTACAAGATCAGTCGGTTCGTGAACACAATATTCACCTTCCTCCGTGTGACACAGATGTGTTCAAGGGCGACTATCTGTCATGGCCATCGTTCCGTGACATGTTCACAGCCATATACATCCTAAACAAGCGGCTCACCCCTGTGGAGAAACTATTTCACCTGAATCAGAAGACTCAAGGGGAAGCCAAAGACATAGTAAGAAAATGTCCACTCACCAATGAAGGTTTTCAAACGGCCTGGAATAACCTGTGTGAGAGATATGAAAATAAGCGTATCCTCATAAATACGCAACTAAAAATTCTTTTCAACCTAATTTCCATAGATAATGAGTGTGGTAGCTCACTGAAGAAGTTGCAGCGCGATATAAATAATTGTTTATCAGCGCTCAAGAGCCATAATATTGACATCTCGAATTGGGATGCAATTATTGTATATCTATGCTCAACTAAACTTCCCGACTGTACGCTGGCTCTATGGGAACAAACCATAGATCACAAGAAAGATTTACCAAAGTGGGTAGACATGGACAAGTTCCTATCGAATAGGTTTCAAACCTTGGAAACCATGTCAGGCATAAAGGGCACAAAGTCTGTAAAAGCGTCAAAGCCGCAAAACACCAGACATCCCTCAGAAGCCCCCACAAAAAGACTTGGCGCGTTCCAAACAAGCGTAACCAAGTACACATGTAAAATGTGCCAAACAAATGAGCACAAATTACGCCGCTGTTCCCATTTCCTAAAGCTAACGCCAACTGAAAGGATAGAGTTTTTAAAGAGCAACAATGCTTGCCTGAATTGTCTGAGTTCTGGACATACTGTGTCAAGATGCACAAGCCCTTTCAATTGCAGCACGTGTCACTCGCGACATCATACGCTCCTGCACACCCAGACAATTCCGCCAAAGGCAACACCGCCTCAAACGCCACCGAGCTCTGCCAAAGATGTTGCCTCAACCTCGCAACAAGCTGCAGCAAGGCGTAACTTCAATAAAACTAACTCCGGTAAAAGCAAAAACGTTAAGTCTAATTATGCAAATATGAACTCAGGTGTACTTTTAGGAACGGCTCGTGTAAATATACGTCTCAATGGTACAGATTTTTCAGCACGAGCACTCATTGATTCTGGTTCGGAGTGTTCCTTTATAACAGAACGACTCAAACGCAGAATCAACCTGCCATCTAAGAAGATGTATGCCAAAGTTTCAGGCATAACGAATTCAACCTCTGCTCAGGTCAAGGAGGCATGCAACATAGAACTACGGTCCCCTGTTGACCCACTGTTTAGTCTACATGCAACAGTGCTCGATCTGACAAAATTAACTGGAAATCTTCCATCCTGCCATATCAGCGCTATGACTATGCAGGCATTTCCAGATCTGATTTTAGCAGATAAAAGGTTCTACGTTAACGAAGAAGTAGACCTAGTACTTGGCGGAGACATTTATCCCCAAATTATTTTGTGCGGCTTGAAGAAAAATGTTCTCAGTACACTTCTTGCCCAAGAAACCGTGTTCGGTTGGATTTTAACCGGTCGCACAGAAGCACCAAATCCAACAAACAACATAGTTTCTTATCATAGCGAAGTTGCCTTGGATCAACAACTAACAGCTTTCTGGGAACTAGAAGATATACCGAAAAACAAAAATTTAAACGAAGACGACAAGTATTGTGAAGAGCTTTATCGGAAAACGACTGAGAGAAACCCAGATGGAAAATATGTAGTCTCGCTACCATTTAGGCAGGAATTTCCAGCAAACATTTGCCTAGGCCCCTCTCTTAAAAGAGCATGCTCTCAGTTCTTCCGGAATGAGACACGGCTTACCAAGGATCCCGTCCTGCAAAAGGAGTATGATAGGGTACTAACAGAATATGAATCACTGGGACACATGTCCAGGATAAATGGTAGCATTTCAGCAGACTCTTCCGATAATTACTTTCTACCCCATCACGCTGTGATAAAGGCGGAAAGCACCTCTACAAAAGTTCGGGTCGTCTTTAATGCCTCAAGCCAGACGGCTAATGGTACAAGTTTAAATGACGTACTTTACGCAGGTCCAGTACTCCAAGCAGATCTTCCAATATTAATACTCCGCTGGAGATTATATCGGTACGTTTTTAATAGCGACATTGAGAAGATGTACCGCCAAATTTGGGTGAATAACAACCATACCAAATACCAGCGAATAGTTTATCGTACAAACCCAAACGAACCTGTAAGTCTATATGAATTAAAGACTGTCACTTTCGGGATTAATAGCGCACCTTACCTCGCGATAAGGACACTTCTGCAATTAGCCGACGATGTAGAGAATTCTTTCCCAATAGCATCTAACATACTACGAAAGTGCATGTATGTGGATGACGTGTTAGCTGGAGGACATAGCGTCGACTCGACCATTAAAGCAAGAGATGAAATCTCAGAAGTGTTACGATCAGCTGGTTTTCCACTACGGAAATGGACCTCAAATTGTCAGGAAATTCCTAAGGGCATCCCAAAAACGGACCTTCTGAGCGAAGATTTCTTAGCATTCGAAGACACCAGCACGGTTAAGGCTCTGGGCATAAGGTGGAATGCTCATACGGATTTGTTTTATTTTATGGTCAGACCATTGGAGGAGCACGACACTATTACGAAAAGGGCGATGCTGTCAGCGATTGCCAAGCTTTTCGATCCACTGGGATGGCTCGCACCAATAGTCATCGTAGCCAAAATACTCATGCAAAGTATTTGGCTAGAAGGCACAGACTGGGATGAGACTGTGTCTGATACTATTTTAGAACGTTGGCAGCATTTTACGAGACATTACCACGAAATAGATAATATCAGAATATCTCGATGGGTATACTTCTCACCTGGAGACACCATAGAGATACATGGTTTCTGCGAGGCATCAGAAAAAGCATATGCGGCTACGGCATATATGCGTGTCAAAAGAGATGACAAAATTTTGGTCAATCTACTTTTGGCAAAAACCAGAGTAGCCCCCGTCAAAACTATATCGCTACCACGACTGGAGCTTTGCGGAGCAGTACTGCTCGCAGAAATCATAGAATCTATAATCAACAACCTCAACCTAGGACCAGTGAAGACACATCTATGGACGGACTCGACCATCGTACTCGCATGGATACGAAAGCCGCCTTGTTCTTGGTCAACCTTCGTCGCCCACCGAATTACGAAAATCGTAGAAAAAGTAGGGGAGAAGGACTGGCTACACGTAGACTCGGCCTCAAATCCAGCCGATTTGGCTAGCAGAGGACTACCTGCGTCAGAATTGGTCAACAATTCTTTGTGGTGGCAGGGACCTTCTTGGCTGCAAGAAGACAACTCCAAGTGGCCCGCTCAAGGAACAGACTATCATACAGAAGTTGAAGAAAAAAAAGCACACACTTATGCGACAACAAGAGCAAATGATATCGATATTCTTGACCGTTTTTCCGATCTACCGAGAGCTTTGAGAGTTTTATCATATGTTATGAGATTCTATCGAAGAACTCATTCCAAAACAAACGCTTCACTTCAGGAAAATTCTTGTTTAATTTCATCTAATGAAATTAAAACAACGGCAGAAATCCTGATAAAAATCTACCAGAAGCATTATTATGGTGAAGAATACGCAAACTTGAAGTCTAAAAAACCAATCGATGCGAAGAGTGAAATCCTTCCGCTTAATCCGTTCATCGATAAACATGACATCATCAGAGCCGGAGGTCGCCTTGGAGCATCCCAGGACTTAGCATACAATGAACGCCACCCGAGCATTATCCCGTATAACAGCAGGTTGTCCCGCCTTATTGTATCGTTTATTCACAAGGTCTCCTTGCATGGAGAGAATCAACTGATGCTACGCCTCATCCGTACCCAATACTGGATTCCCAAAGTCAAGAACTTGATCAGGTCCACTATCCATAATTGTAAGACATGCATTATCTTTAAAAAACGGTCACAAACTCAACTTATGGGAACTCTTCCCCCGGAACGCACTACATTTACTCGCGCTTTCACCAATACGGGGGTAGACTTTACTGGACCTTTTGATGTTAAAAGTTACCGCGGCAGAGGTTGTCGAGTTTCTAAAGGGTATGTCTGTTTATTTGTTTGTTTCACGACAAAAGCGATTCACTTAGAAGCTACTAGTGATCTTAGTACCCCATCTTTTCTAGCGGCGTTCGCACGGTTCGTGGCTAGAAGAGGATGTCCGAGAAATATTTACTCCGACAACGGCACTAACTTTGTCGGAGCCTCACGATCCTTACGATCTGAATTTAAAGCTTTTCTGTCTGAAACCCGAGAAAAAACTATCTCGAAATACAATCATCAAATGCTGACGTGGCATTTTATACCCGCTGCAGCGCCTCACATGGGAGGACTGTGGGAAGCGGGCGTAAAGAGCTTCAAAAGCCACTTTAGAAAAATTGCGTCCTCCCACAAATACACCTTTGAAGAGCTTAGTACTCTTTTATGCCGTATTGAGGCATGCCTCAATTCACGGCCACTGAGTCCCTCTTCAAATAACCCTACTGACCTGGAGCCGCTTACTCCAGGCCATTTTCTCATCGGTGGACATCTTCTAGCCCCACCAGAATTAGACGTTAATGAAACTCCTGCCTCCATAGTGAATCGGTGGCAAAAACTCAAAGCACTTAATCAAACTTTCTGTAGGCGATGGAAAACAGAGTACCTAACCGAACTTCAAAAACGCATTAAGTGGAAGCATCCCAAAGAAAATATCAAACGTGGTGATCTGGTCGTCATCAAGGAAGACAACTTAACCCCCACTGAGTGGAGGTTAGGACGAGTTGTCAACATACACCCTGGTGCCGACAGCAGAGTACGAGTAGTGGACATCTCGACGGAGAAAGGTCAAGTCACAAGACCACTGGTGAAGTTGGTTCTACTCCCGCCATACAACGATGGAAACGCGGAGCCAACAACCGCCTCATAAATTACCCCTCACCACTTTACTACATTCCACTTCCTTTTACCAAAACATTCCACTTCTAGGTAGTAGGAGGGATCCCATGTCTAACCTTTTTTGAGATAACTTGTTTTTAGTACCATGGAGTATATTTTGAGTTTTTTTTTGTATTTGGCGTGATGGTTCTTACCCGAGTTACCCCGGGTTGATCTGGCTATACAAAAACGACCATCCTCAGATCTGAATCCATAATTAAAATAACTGCAGAAGTAGCGAACTACTCCGCCTCAGAATAAAAGCAAACAGTAGAAAACTAGCAAGTTTAACCCGATATGGTTTTTTGTTTCAAAATCTTCAACCTCTCAAGCTTGCTGGTTTTCTATCCGCTTTATTTGGAAGAGATTGCATAAACTGTGTAGGCAGTTTATAGTGTAAGACCCGCCCGAAAGGAACAATTTAAAATAATACAAAAAAAATATTTAAAAACTCACATATCTTCGGCTCCAAAAGGGTTCGGTTCGGTGACAATCAGCTTCTTTTTGTTTGTGTTTTGTTGTTTGTAATCGCACGATACGCAGCATGTCGTTATGCCAGCAATCCCTGATAAAAAACACAAACCAATTAGGCCTCGAATAAACGGTTAACAACAAAAAGTAGGTATTGAATAACTCACTATGGCGTTGCTTAGTCAATCAATGAAAAGGCAGCAATTTGGGAAAATCTGTTTACCCAGAAAAGCCAGCAAATTAATCGGGTACTTACTTCGATTAAGTCCCTCGATGTTGGTGTTATTTGCCGCCGATCGGATTAGAAGCTGCAATAACAGTACATCGTGCTTGTAGAGACGTCACAATACCAGCTTTTGATATGGAAATCGATTGCTGCTCCATGGCCTCGTGAATGGAAGTTCGATCCTGATCGTTCATTTTGTCAAACTCATCAATAAGACATACACCTTGATCCGCCAGTACCAGGGCGCCTGCCTCCAAAGTCCATTCACGCGATATTGGATTTCGACGAACATAGGCAGTCACGCCTACAGCACTGGCCCCTTGTCCGGTCGTGAAAACTGCACGTGGCGCTATTTTTTCCGTGTACTTAAGAAACTGAGATTTTGCCGTTCCTGGGTCGCCGCATATAAGTAAGTTTATGTCGCCTCTAACTTTGTGTTTATCACCGGGGTTTTTAGACTCTCCACCAAATAGAGCCAGCGCAAGTGCGCGTTTAATATAGTCGTGGCCATATATGGATGGGGCCATTGAAGCTATTATTCTTTCTGCAATCCGAGGATCTTTACTCAACTTCTGAATGGTAGCGATGTCTTCGTCCGTAAGCGATTGTACTACTTGTTTGCTGTCCTTCACAACGATATGATTCGCAATAATGACGGTGACGAAAACCGGAAACCCTTGCTCAGTGTTTAGCGAACCATCAGAGTTGTTTGTGTAAATACCAGTAACTTCTAACTCATCACCCGGCTTGCATAAGTCACAAAGATCCGCTAAAAGAATTACGTCCTTACTACGCGGAGTCCGACCAGCGGGAATGCGACCAGGAGATTCCTGTAAGGTAATCTTCTGGTAATTCCGATATAATGTTTGTTCCATATTAATCGAAAAAGGGCCGGCACTTTGACACTCAGGACAGGAGCCAGGTTTAACTTCTGTATTCTGTGACTGTACAAAGGGCCCCAAAACGTAGCCACACTTCACACAATCGTATTTGATGACTGAAAGTTGAGTTAACACACCCGTTGTAGCTGTTACCACGCCCAAAGTACGCACCAGCTGGTTCAGATGGAGTTTCCGGAAAGTCCGTAACTCTTCTATAAGAGGCAATTCTGATATACGAACATGAATTTCTGTTGTAACACGTTCATATGTTGGAAATATTGATAAGACCATGTCTTTAGCCACCTTGTCGAAGATTTCTAGCATTTGAAAAGGTGCTTCAGGTAGGAAGTACGCAAGTACATGCTCTTTATTTGCCAAATCCGTGTAGGATGCAACAAATATTCCTTATGAGACTTTCGATATACTGAATGACGAAGAAGTTCGCCAAGGTTTAAAGACATACTCCGATTGGCCTACATATCCACAAGTGTATGCTAAAGGAGAGCTAATAGGTGGATTGGATATAATCAAAGAACTAAAAGCTAATAACGAACTAGAGACTGCACTAAAAGGCTAAATTTGAAAGCGCATGACTCACCGACCTTCATACACACATATAAATAAAATTGGCAACTGGTTTTTAACCCAAAAACCTCGCTGGATGCAAACCTTGCGTCTTCCCTCCGATCCTGTCGTATAAATTTACAGCGTGAAGTTTTTATTAAGCAAGTTATTGCCATTATTCATAAACATGACTACTAGCCCTTCAGTGATTTCAGTTAAAAGCGCCGATGAATATAATGCGTTGATCAATGCCGAAAAAACCACAGTGGTGCTCTTTACCGCCGATTGGGCTGAACAGTGTAAGCATGTGCAAGAAGCGCTCGAGGAGCTTGCCAAGATTTTGAGCGCAAAATTACAGTTTGCTAGCATAGTGGCCGAGAACTTTCCGGAGATATCTATGAAGCACCAGATTGAAGCAGTGCCCACCATTATTTTCTTCACTAAAGGCACAGCCGTGGATCGCGTAGATGGTGTTAATGTAGCTGATATCACTGCCAAGTGTAAAAAAAAAAAAAAAATTGGCGGCTCCGTAGCCGGTGAATCGTTGGAAGATCGCTTGAAGGCGCTTATCAATAAAGCTGATCTGATGATATTTATGAAGGGCGATCGTAATGCGCCGCGTTGTGGGTTCTCGCGTCAGCTAATTGAGATTTTAAATACAACAAATGAAGATTTATTCTGTTCGCACATGCGTTGAATACGGTCCCGGTATGTGTACATACCACGTTCATCAACAAAGGTGCGCAAAAAAGACTGAAAGCGATTGGCGATTTCTGTTCGTGGTCCAAGCATACTAACCCATTCTTTTGTAGAATGGCCTTTAGTATCTTCCAAATTTTCTATCGATTCAATCATTTCCGCGTCT